ACCACCTCATGCATAATCCCTTCTTTTTCACATAATTTGTCGAAGTCTTTCGACACATACTCTTCAGCATCATTGGTTCTCAAAACCTTTGAGTTTTTGACCACTTTGTCTTTCGACCATAGATTTAAACTTGGTAAATACCTCAATCACTTCACTTTTCTTCTTGATCAGATAAGTCCACAATTTTGACTGAAATCATCTATGAATGTAACAAAATATTTGTTACCTCCAATCTAATCCACATGGATTGATCCACATACATCAGAGTATATGACTTCGAGAATAACCTTCGACTTGCTTCCTGCATCCTTGCTGAAGCTATTCTTGTGTTACTTCGCCACACATTCTTCACACACACTTCATTTGGAATGTCGATTTCTGGAAATTCTGAAACCATATTCTTCCTCTTCAAATCTCTGATGGTCTCTGAAGTTAAGATGGCCCAGTCTATAGTTCCATATCCATTCATCTCTGTTAGCTGCAGCCGAAAGGCACTTGTGCTCCATCACATTAAGTTCAATCTTAAAAGTTCTATTCTGAGACACAAGAGCCTTCAAGATTAACCTTCCCATTTGCGTCGACGAATCACATCATCTTGTCTTTAATCAACACTTTATAATTCTTTTCGACTAACAGTCCTAGGCTGAGCAAATTGCTCTTCATGTCTGGTATGCACAATACATTGGAAATTACTGACCTCTTGCCATCTTTCCTCATAATCATAACATCACCAATATCTTCAGCTGCTAGGGTATTATCATTTGCGAATTTCACCATGTTCTTCATCAAGGGTTTTATGTTGACAAGTCAATCTTTCCTTCCATACATGTGTGATGAACATCCTGAATCCAAGTACCGTTGCTTCTTGAATCTATCTTCATCTTTTATTGTGACCATCAACATCATCTCTTCTTCTTCATGTTTTGCAAACTTTGCATCACTTTCTTTATTCTTTCACTTTTCTGGACAATCACTAGAATAATGACCATACTTCTGACAATTATAACACTAAATGTGACTCTTGTCAGGCTTTTGACCACCACCTCTTCCTCTACCCTCCAACACTACCTATTTGGTTGCCTTGGAATTATTTTCTTTGATTCGACATGTTTTCTTCGTGTTGGTTTCCTCTATCAGTCGAATTGTTGTAGCCACCTCTACCTTTGTTGTTGAACCACTTTCCTTTGCCTTTCTTATCTTTTACTGATTAAGCGTGTAAAGCAACATTACCCCTTCGACTTGCTGTAGCACTTTCAGTCATTCTTTGTTCATAAGATTCAAGCATCCTTTGAAGTTCTTCCCCGACAGAGTTGACATGTCCTTCGATTCTTCTATGGTAACTACCACATGATCTAACTTTAGAGCCAAAGATCTCAAGATCTTTGAAATAACTGCCCTTGTTGTTAATGTCTCTCCACAAGTCTTGATTTGATTCACTAGTTTCGTGATCCTAGTGAAGAAATCAGATATCTTCTCACTATCTTCCATCTGAAGCAATTTATAACGTTCTTTTGTGAGTTTGTAACCTCACCTCTTTCACATTCTCAACGCCTCCAAACGATTTCGTCATGATTTCCCAGGCTTCTTTTGTTGATTCTATATCACTAACCTTTTCGAAATTGTCTAGGCTGACATAAATTCGTTGTATTCCGCCTCTTTCTTTTTCGAGGCATCTTCATCATGTGGTTGTAATCCATATTTTGCAAGATCCGAAGACTTTGAAAACAAAAAATATAACCTTAATCTATTTGCAATCAATTCTCATAGTTATCACCTTTAAGAATTGAGAGATTTGCTGGAAAATTTCCGTTAGCGTAATTCATCGCCATTGATTTTCTTCTTCTTCTTCCTCGATCATTCTTCTCTTGAATCACTCAATCGAAGCTATTGATACCAGATGTTAGAAATCCACCAAACTCTATGATGAATTTCTACCAATCTTGATGAACAAGATTAATATCACCACACAATAACAATGACAAATAAAAATGAAGAAATAGAGTATTTTTTCTGCAGTTTCTCTCTGTCCACAAACTGTGAAAAACTTTATTATTCAATTGCAACTGCAAATTCTGTGAATACAACTTAATTGACTTGATTGCAAAAAATGAGGGTTACTCCCTCTATTTATAATTGAGCTTGCTTTCTCCCTAAGCCAAAAAACACAAAACTATAAAAACCCAAAAATACCTATTTTAGAACTAAGTCAAATTTATCTATTTTAGATATAAAACAAATCTAAATTTAAAACCAAATCAAATCTGTATGCAGCCTGCTTCGATACACAAGCTCTTCAACAGGTCAATGGTTTCCGTCGAGCAACCTACTTCGACAACTACTTTCCTTCGACACACATAGTTTTGACATCAATGGTTTCCGTCGAGCAACCTACTTCGACAACTACTACATGTCAAAATCTTTTCACTCGTAGTGTTTTTAAAAGTGTATGATATAGGTGATTGAGACTCTTATTGAAACTTCTCTATAAGTTTCTTATTCCGAATTTTGGAAAGAAATTATATCTATTTTTTAGTACCAAATTTTCTTCTTTTTCTTCTTCATTAAAGACCACATCTCGACTGATTACAATCATGTTGTTGTTTGGGTTGTAAAGCTTATAGTCCTTTGAGCTTCGATCATAACCAACAAAGATGAATTTCTTGCTCTTGTTGTTAATGTTGGGTGAGAATATAGAGTAGGAAAACAATTTAGAGAGGGGGTGGGGGGTGGGTGAATAGACTAAAAAAAAAATCTTTTATAAAATTTCAATTGATATTTCAAAAATAGAATATTAGAGGTTTTTTTTATAAGTTGCTTCTCACTCTCTTTCCTGTTTTAGTATCGGAACGAGTAACGATAATAATTACTTTATTTCTAATTCTAATTTTTTTAATCCATCTTATCACATCTTCTCGTGTATCGAATCTATGTATAGTTGAGAATGAATCAGAGATATTCATACATATTTGATTTTTTATCACATATTTATAAAAGTATTTTAATAGTTGCAACATAAAGAAAGTTTTAAAAATTTTAAAAATGACTTTCGAATTACTTAACACTAAGTTTTCCAGTAAACAAAACTTAGTAAACCGGATAACTTGACAATAAGTCTTCCGGTACACAAGTTCATTTTGTTGGGAAATTCAAAGGGTTAACACGAGGGAGAATTTTTACACTTGAAAAACTTCCTTTGAGAGCAACACACTTTTGTAAGAGACACACCACATATTCACTCAAAATTTTAAGATGATAGATGAGTGAGTTCTCCCACTTATAAATATTCAAGTCACCATATTACTATCTAATGTATGACTATTTCCTCACACTACTCAAATTTGTTATATTCTCAACACTCCCCCCTCTAGTGTGAATCTACCACAATACCCCCTCAAGTGGAAGTTCTTTCTTCCATATACACATATCATCCATGCTACAAATGTAGATATAGATAAAATACTTGTCTATTATTTATATTTATTTATTTATTTAGTAATTGTTATTTAACTACGTAGTAGTAGTAGTAGTATTATTATTATTATTATTATTATTATTATTATTATTATTATTATTATTATATTTATTATTATTATTATTATTATTATTATTATTATTATTATTATATTATTATTATTATTATTATTATTATTATTATTATTATTATTATTATTATTATTATTATTATTATTATTATTATTATTATTATTATTATTATTATTATTATATTATTATTATTATTATTATTATTATTATTATTATTATTATTATTATTATTATTATTATTATTATTATTATTATTATTATTTATTATTATTATTATTATTATTATTATTATTATTATTATTATTATTATTATTATTATTATTATTATTATTATTATTATTATTATTATTATATTATTATTATTATTATTATTATTATTATTATTATTATTATATTATTATTATTATTATTATTATTATTATTATTATTATTATTATTATATTATTATTATTATTATTTATTATTATTATTAATTATTATTATTATTATTATTATTATTAATTATTATTATTATTATTATTATTATTATATTATTATTATTATTATTATTATTAATTATTATTATTATTATTATTATTATTATTATTATTATTATTATTATTATTATTATTATTATTATTATTATTATTATTATTATTATTATTATTATTATTATTATTATTATTATTATTATTATTATTATTATTATTATTATTATTATTATTATATTATTATTATTATTATTATTATTATTATTATTATTATTATTATTATTATTATTATTATTATTATTATTATTATTATTATTATTATTATTATTATTATTATTATTATTATTATTATTATTATTATTATTATTATTATTATTATTTATTATTATTATTATTATTATTATTATTATTATTATTATTATTATTATTATTATTATTATTATTATTATTATTATATTATTATTATTATTATTATTATTATTATTATTATTATTATTATTATTATTATTATTATTATTATTATTATTATTATTATTATTATTATTATTATTATTATTATTATTATTATTATTATTATTATTATTATTATTATTATTATTATTATTATTATTATTATTATTATTATTATTATTATTATTATTATTATTATTATTATTATTATTATTATTATTATTATTATTATTATTATTATTATTATTATTATTATTATTATTATTATTATTTATTAATTTTTTTATCTTTTATTTATTATTTAATTTGTCAAATTATACGTGAGAATTGGTTTTGAAGTTTTGAGGAGAAGTTGTAGATTTAGTATGATGATAACTGACTGGCATAGACTCGTGGAGTTGTGAGTCGTTTCTTTTTCTTTGATTCGACTGTACGGTTACCGGTGCGAACCCCAAACCACAAATTAGAACAAACCGTTTCTCTACAGAAGATTTGTGATTATTCATTGCTTCTTTTTGAGGTTATCTCTTCTTCAACATGCAATGCATCATCTCATCTTTATTTTTTCTCAAATTAATTAATGTTTCTTCTTTGTTGCAGTATTCACATTCCAAGATCACCTTCTTTCCATGGAACTACTCAATCCCTAGCTTAACCATGGTACTTTCTCAATGTCTTCTTCTTTGTAATGATTTTCATTATATGTCATTATAATCTGATTTTAAAAGAATAAATAACCGTGGTGTTTTTATTTATTGAATGAAGTTACATTAATTTGAGTTTCAAGATTGTCTTAGTGCACCTAGTTATGATTCTTGTATGCATGCATAGATTCATATATACATTAACCTTGTTTGCTTTCTGATTTCTGTCTGTACTTTTGTTTTAACATGAATATATCGACCTAAAGGGAAGAAAGCAAAAAAAGTCTACTCGCCCTCGTCAAATAAAGATTGATACGGTGGAGATATATAGAATTAGTGGCTTACCGGATCATGTAATAGACCAAATTCTGTCTTACTTGCCAATTAGGGAAGCAGTGAGAACGAGTGTTTTATCCAAAATATGGAAGAACAAATGGTACACACTTCCAAATCTTGTGTTTGATAAGCATGGTGTCTCTGATGCAGTTAACGAGAGCATGCTTTTGAAAATTGTTGATCATGTACTTTTAGTTCATTCGGGGCCAATCAACATGTTCAAGTTTGTTAACGAAGATCTTCCTGAAATTCTTCAGATTGATATGGATCGGTGGATTCTTCATCTAACCGGAAGGTCTATTAAAGAGCTTGTGCTAGAAGTTTGGACAAAGGAAGAACCTTATAAGATACCTTGGTGCTTATTCACTTGTCAAAGTTTACATCATTTAAAACTAAAGTCTTGTTGGCTTAAACCTCCGAAGGAGTTTGGAGGCTTTCGGAACTTAAAAAGTCTTGATCTAAATTTGGTTACGATGACTCAAGATGCTTTAGGAAACTTGATATTTGGATGCCCTCTGCTTGAAAAATTGAAATTGAGAGAAGTTGATGGTTTAACCCAAATTAATATTCACGCACCAAATCTCAAGATTTTTGAAGTCTTTGGTGAATTTGAGGGTATCAGCTTTGAAAAATCTTTCCAATTAGTTACGGTAACGGTTGATTCAAGGTTGAATTTGAGTCTTGAAAACAATCAAAGTACATTGCATAGACGCTCTAGCAATTTGCTCGATTTTCTCGATCGTCGACCTCACCTGCAAAGCCTAGTAATTGGTAGTTGCTTTCTAAAGGTATAATGTTTGAGCATGTAAATTTTGAATTTGACTCACCGAATACTGTTAAATATGAACCACAATTATGTGTATGTAAGTATTAAAAATATTACATTCTAATTTAGAGTCATTTTTCTATTTTGCTTCAGTATTTGGCTGCAGGTGTTTTGCCAGTAAAGCTTCCTACTCCTTGCATTGGCCTAACTTATCTTTCCCTAAGCATAAACTTTGATGACTTGAAGGAAATTTCGGCTGCGCTTTGCTTGCTGAAAAGCTCACCTAATCTTAAAAAGTTAGAAATATATGTGAGTACTCATTTAGTTTAGCTTGGCTTTGCTCTGTTTTGCTTGCTGATTGTTGGTTGCATGTAGTTATTATGCTCTATTGTTTGCAAACCTTTTTTACTTTAAGTATTTATCTGGTGTTAGATATGAAAGTGAGTTGTGATATTGCTTGCGATACGTATGAGTCGGTTGCACTTTAGATAGTTAGTTACATTGTTAGTGCAGTAGATTACTATAAAATAACACCAGTGTACCTCATTTCCATTTTTTATCAATCAATACAATGATACATTCAGAGTTTTAATATGCTCTATATCTCGCTTATGCAAACTATCTTCCCTCTTTGATCTAACAATTGCATGTAGGCACGGATTGAGCATCATACCGTCCCTTTGACACCCGTCGGTGTCTATTATAGGGATGATACATTTTCAAGGCCAGACACACCCATCCAAGTGCGACATGTGACAATAGATGGCATCTCTGGTTTCCAACCTGAACTGGATATGATCAGATTTCTACTTCTCTATTCGCCTGTGCTAGAAAAGATGATTGTGAAACCTATTGTAAATGTCAGACCAGAGTTGGTTCCACAACTAATTCGGTTCAAAAGAGCGTCAGGAGAAGCTGAAGTTATTTACGAGGTGGTAGACTCTTCATAATGATTTGTTTTCTCCTCAAATCATCTAATGTATTATGACTTTAAGGGTAGTTATGACTGAAGTTAAACTTTTTAATTAAGAGGCAAATTATATAAGTGATTGACACTAAAGTTTTTTGGTTGTTGATAATATATTCCCTAAATTAAAGTTATTTAGTGTTCTTCAAACTCCTTTAAGTTTGCATATGTGAGGTTCAAGCATCCTTTTTAAGTTGTATGCTGGTGCCATTATTTTGGAATTCACTATGTATTTTCTTTTTTCAAGATTCACACTCACAACCAATTCAAAGATTAAGCTTCCATTGTAATTCATAAGCTGAATCTGAAGTTGAGTATAAGCTGAAAAGGAAACATAATGTTTGATACTTAAAAGAACCTGTTTGAACAAAATAAAATAGAATTGAAGGACCAATTTATAAAATAAGTTAAACTAAATGAACGGCTAATGTAATTTCCCCATCAGAAATATAATTGTATCAATACAACTAGGACTCTTCAAAATAACTTTGAACCGAACCCGGTGAACCGAATCGAATTTAAAATAACTAAAAAGTTTGAAGTTAAAATAATTATGTTTGGTTAGTGAACCGAATCATTTTATACACATAGTTTTAGAACTGAATCATATGATAAATAAATCGAATTGAAACTAAATTGAAATTGAAAATGAAAAATACTAAAAGCAAGTTTTAAATTTTTTAAAAAGAAATCAAAAAATAGTTTAACGATTTAGTTCTTTAGTAAATGATTCTGTTTGTAAAAAATTATCTTTTAACGATACGAAATTTTGAAATAGTATATCAAATCAATAATTTTGATTCGATTTATTTTTAATAAATTAAAATGGTTCAATTCAGTTATTATGCATGGTTTGATTTATTTCGGCTGAATTTTTTCATTGAAGTATACAACCGGATCTAAGACTCAATTATTCACATTGAAGTATTTGAGTCTAGCCACTAAGTTTTTTGATATTTTTTTTAGTACCTAATATGATTTTTTAAATTGATAGAACATTAAAAATAAATATTTGTATATTTACACAAAATTAAAATCACCGGAAACACACTAAACCAAATAAAACTATTACAATTACACTTCAAATGTGGAATTGGCTTATCCATGATCAAACCCTTAAATTTTATTGATGTCATAAACTAATATGAAAAGAAAAGTCACAATTGCTTTCACGCTTTTCTTTATAAATGATGCATATTGAATAACTATTGAGTATGGAGATGTGATATGTTACACACGTTTTTATTTTTAAAATATAATAAAAATATAAGTAAATAAAACAAATTTATATTATCAAAATAATTTATTATTAAAAACACATATTTTATATATAAAAAAACTATTTTACATCAATAACTTTCATATATAATTTTTTTAAAAATTTGTATCTTAAATTAAAAATAATTTCAAAATAAAAATATTAAATATATAAATAATTAAAAAATAACATATTTTTTCGTGTTTGAATTAATATATTATTTTTATTTTTATTTTCTTTAATTATACAAAAAAATGGAATAGCTCGTACGTTCACACGCATTTTGATATAGTTACCCGTGAGTTCGCACAAATTTTATTAGTTTTAAAAGAAAGATACATTTTTAAAAGAAAAATGAAATTATTTTATCAAAATTATTTTATATCAATAATATATATTTAATTTTTCATATATTATTTTAAAAAATAGTATATTGAATTAAAAATACTTTAAAAATAAAAATGTTAATAACATAAATAATTAAAAACAACGCATTGTGCACGTGTCATATCAGTACCCGTATGTTCACATGGATACTGATGTGATATGTTAAGTTGTCGTTAATTACTTATAATTTTAAAGAAATAAATCATTGTGATGAAATAAAGAAAAATCAAATAATTTATTAACTATTCCTAATAAAAATAGTTTATTATTTTAATAGAGATAATAAATATGATTCTCTAATTTCTTCTGTATGTAAAAAAATTTGAATCAACAATATATATTTTTCTGTATGTGAATATTATTTTTGTTTTGCCATTATTTATAAAAAAATTGAATTAATAGTAAACTTGTTTCGTTATTATTCGATATTTTGATCAATAATTTCGTTTCTCCGATTCATATAATTCTTATATTAGAAAAAAAAATTAAAATTTTAAATAAATATAAATTTTCTAATTAGCTATTAAAACTTCAAACCAATTTTAAAATTAAAATCTCAAATTAATCCGTACATGTTAATTAATTTTCACTATTAATCATCATTCTAATGATAAACATTGATGGATTCACTATGATACAAACATTTTCTATGATACCACACTTAATACAATTATATTTAACTATACAAAATATTTTTATGTTAAAATAATATTAATTTATTAATTTATTATATTAAAACATTTTCTATGGATCATAACCGAAGGTGGCTGGCACGGAAGAGGGTATAAAAGAGCCAGGTAGTCTACAGATAAGAGGGGAGTAGAAATAGTCTACAAATAAAAAATATAAAAAATAAAAAATTACTATCCAATATGCGACACTATTTGGCCTCAGTCTTGAACATAAATTTCTTTTATTTTCAATTATCAAGTTGCAGGCAAGTTTACAAATATATTGAAAATTTAACAACAGATTTATTGAAGAAATATGCAGGTAACCATTGATATAAAATTTGCTAAACCTTTGAATTGGAAGCATATCTCCAATCCCCTTTATTAGGTACACTTTTGCCTCCGTTTTTATAGAGCTCTTTGGCAATTTTAAGCCTTCCTTTACAATCAAACTCTCTCTTTTAAACCTCTTCCTTTACGGTCAAACTCAAGTTGTGGCACAACAACATATATGAATATAATATCCTTGTAAGACCAAACATTTATCCAATCTTTCATTAATCTAACCCCTACATCGTTAGACTATGTACTATCTACTGTTATGTTAAATATCCAATTCAGTTCTCAAGAATTTAAACACATCTCAACTTCCCTAGCCATGACTTCCCCCGTATGCCCTGCAATTTGACAAAAATTCAAAATATTCTTATGCAAATTTCATCTTTTTTTTTGTCAATAAAATGCGTAGTTAAGCTCATGTAGCTTAGATTTTAGACCCAAGTCCATGTGTTTGTTGTAAGACAAACCCTCCCACATTGTTTCAAGATAAATTGTCAAAGTCTTTCTCTTTATATATATCGTAACGTAAAGCAAACAAATAACACGCGTTAATGTTGTTAGAATTAATTTAGATTTTATAGTTAATTAAATATTAATTTATATTTATAAATATCTTTTAGATTGTTTATTAGAAGATATATATTTTAGATCTTCTTATATCTTTGTTAAAAGATATATTTTAGATTTAATTTTGTGTATAAATAGCCTAGTGGAGTAGGTTATTGTAATTCATTGTAAATCCTTATTTTGAAGTTGTCAGTAAATATTTCTTTTGTCTTTTATCTTCCTTGTGCACCAACAATTGGTATCTAGAGCTCCGGTTCGAAATCCACGGGGGAAAAAAGTATTGTGATTAAAAATTACAATATTCTGATTCTGGGATTTTGAGAAACATTAATTTGGAAAACTCTGCGTAAATTGCTCAAAGGTAGAAGATGAACGAGAACGGCGACGATATTCATTCCAAGCTTCCAGTATTTGATGACAAAAACTGGAATCGTTGAAAGATCCAGATGCGCGTGTTATTTGGTTCTCAAGATGTGTTAGATCTTGTCACTGATGGCTATAATCTATTAGAAGCAGACGCAACAGAGGTACAGAAGGTAGTCTAGAAGCGTTGCGTATGACTGCGAGAAGACGTTGTTCTACATCCATCAATGTGTGAATGCTAATGTGTTTGAGAAGATTGCTGATTCTGAAACAACAAAGGTTGTATGGGACACACTGGTCAAATATTACGGTAGTGACGCATCAGTGAAGAAGGTGAAGCTTCAGTCTCTCAGAAAACAATATAAGAATCTCAACATGAAGGACAACGAGAAGGTTTTTGAGTACGTCTCTAGAGTGATTCTGATCACTAATGAGATGAAAGCTTGTGGAGAAACTCTGTCTGAACAAGTAATTATTGAGAAGATCTTGAGATCTTTAACTCCCCAGTTTGATTATATTGTGGTAGCAATTGAATATTCCAAAGATCTGAGCACCATGAGAGTTGAAGAGCTGCAAAGTAGTCTAGAAGCGCATGAGTTGCGTATGACTGCGAGAACTTCTGAGAGGGAAGTAGAGCAGCAGAATCTGAAAGCAACTTCTGATAAGAAGTATCAGAAGCAGACTTGGTCATAAGCCAGAAAGAAAACTAAGGATGGTCAAAGGTCAGAAGCTTCAAACTCTGATAGGCAGAAGAATGCCTAGAAGGGAAAGGAGAAGTATGACAAGAAGAATGTTCAGTGTTACTGTTGCAAAAAATTTGGTCATTATGCCAGAGATTGTTGGTCCAACAAAGAAAAGAAGTCAGAAGAAGCAAATATAGCAAGAGGAGAGTCTGATGATGAACCTGTACTATTGTTGGCTTCTGAACCTGATGATCTGAATTCATCAGAATGGTGGTATATGAACACAGGGTGTTCAAACCATCTTACTGGAAACAAGAAGTGGTTGGTTGATTTTGACTCTGGGAAGAGTACAAAGATCAGATGTGCTGATGATAAATACCTCAATGCAGAAGGTATGGGAAATGTCAGAATCATTCTAAACAATGGGAAAGCAGCAGTGATCTAGAATGTATGGTATATACCTGGCATGAAAAGAAATCTGATGAGTTTGGGACAACTGGTTAAGAAAGGTTTTTCAGTTACCATGAAGGACAATCTTCTGAAGCTGTATGACTGTAATCAGAAGCTGATTATGGAGTCAGAACAGGGAAGGAACATAATATTCAAGGTGAATGTTAGAGCTGCAGGCTCTGAATGTCTTAGTGCAACAAGTGTTGTCAAGGAGAGTGAGCTGTGACACAGAAGATTTGGTCATCTGAATTTCAGAAGTTTAAGA